GAGTCTCTCTGTCGTCACGTGAGGCTTCTTTCTGGTTAAAGGTGCAGGGATTCGGTGGTTTTGGGGACATGCAACCAGCTAAAATGTTCCTCCTTTGTTTGTTATTAGCACCTAGCATCTAAATGTGATGTAATACTCAGACACAACAAATGAGCCCCCCCCCCCAAACCCCAAAGATAAAGATTCTTCCAGCCTTCCTTCCTCGCTCATTTCTCGTCTCTGGTCTGTGGCCTCGAGTCTCCGGAGAGCTCAAATCACAAGGTCAGCCTGGGGGGGGGGGGGCTGACCTTGTGGGGGGGGGCTCCTCCTGTGCCTACTTTTGACTGAAAACACGGCCGGAACGCACGCAGCACTCAGGCGCCGCGACACACAACCCCGAATCAATAGAGGGGAAAGAGGCTCGGCCTCCAGGGCCCCCGAGTGGGAAGTCGGCACGCCGAGCGGGGTCTCGTCTTCGTCTTCGTCTTCGGCTGTCTGAGCCACGCGCACACACAGCCTCGTACCTGCGGAAGTCGTTAAAAAGATCTTGTTGTAATTTTCCAGTCTGTGCCCCCCCCCAACAAAAAAACGAAAAAAGCGCATTATGGAAAATTACCAGGTTTATATTTAATTTGATCCAAATACTTTTCCTTCGAAAACGAAACCTGATAAGAAAGTCTCCACCTCTTTGCTTATAGATTACATTACATCACATCCCGGCACTAAATATATATATTTATATCCATTTCCAGCAGGATGCAACGGAACACTAATCCCTCTTTGCTGTGTAGTTTAAATAAAAAGAAAAGCAACTGTGTTTTTTTACGGTGGGACTTGTTGTTCAGTGTTTGTATTTTGAACCCACAATAATTACAGCTGTTTGTTTTACTGTGACGTTATTTATTCTGCAAGTGTGAAGGTCAATATCTTTGTTTCAACAGAATATTGTGAATGTCAAGGAGTTCAATTAAAAGGTCATAATACTCGAGAATAAAAATGTAATTTAAAAAGAATGAAGTTATAATATTTTGAAGCTAAATGTGGTGTGAATAAAACCTAAATCTATTGTTGCATGATAATAAGTTGGACTGCGCGAGGAAAAGCAAATGGACTTTTTTCAACAAATGTTCGATTCCTGCAGCGATCGACCCGCTGCGTTCTTCCTGGTGGAACAATGAACCCGTTGATGTCACAGCGCGAGCATCCACTCCGTGTGTTTTTAGATCCCGCAGGTTTCCCCCCTCCGGGCCCTCCAGCTGAGCCCGGGGATCCTCCGGGGAGTCCCACGTTCCACAGCGAGGATAACGGCAGCTTTGTATGATGTTACTTCTGACGTATCGGAGAAGACATCAGATAAATCTGTGCTTATCCTTGTTAGTCATTCACAGACTCCCCCTCTCGAGACGCCGCGAGGGCGAGACCCGGCACTTCCTGTCTGATGTCATTAGCCACCACAAGAAGACCACCGAGGGGTGGTACGGCAACACCAGTGGAGGGACGGCATTGGATTTACATTTTGCACATTGTTGTCATTAGTGTGACGTTCAAACTGTCAACGCCTCAGATGTCGGAGGAAAATCACTTTCATTCATTTGCACATTAAAGCAAAGTCTGTTTCTGTCAACTCACAACATCCCGCCCGGCTGCCTCCATCTCATCCGCACAACAAAAACCAACAGATATCTCGAGCGTCGGGTCTCAAAGTTAATGTTTTGATTCTGACAATTTGTGGTTTTGATCAACGTCTCCAGTCAGAGGTCAAAGAGTAGTTGGAAGGTGAGGACAGATGGCACCGGGTCCACATGGCGCTTTGCATTCTGCCAACACAATGATAGAGCGGGGGTCTCTCCTCCCCCCCCCCCCCACCCACCCGGGCTGGCGTCTGTCCGTCAGCTTCCCCCAGAGCGACCCGTTTAAGATGGATCTGGGTCACAGCGGGATCCTCCTCCGTCCGGCCGCCGGAAGCTGGAGGCATCGGGTTTGTTTCGGGACCGCTGGGGCCGATCCATGCAGCACACTTCACCGGCTTAAGGGTCCTCCTCCTCTTCCTCCTCTTCCTCCTCCTCCACACGCCTCACACAGCGTCACGGGGGGGCGATTCGCCACGCCAACCTGATATCTGACATTCGCTTCACCTTCTCACACGGCAACAGTGTCAACCTTTTCACACCTACAGGGAAGAAAAGGAGGGACTTTTTACATTCAGGCCCGTAGTGCTCAGTGATTTATCACATTATGTAACTTACATAAAGATGTTTGTTGTAATATTTAAAACTGACAACAAAGACGAAACACCAATGTTGTTCAAGAACAACAAAAGCCACGGGGGGGCTCACTGATGGAGGGGGGGCGGCTACTCTGTGGCTCTGTGAGGTCTTCTTGCTGCATTCTGTGTAGTGACCAGCAGGGGGCGATTCTGCCGGCACCATAGAAGTCTATGGCAAAATGACTCTACTTCTCTCGATGAGTTTATGGTCTCGATCTCTAGTTTCAGGTCTTCTTCATTACAGCATGATGTTCATTTAGTAAATTGTGGTCCATGGAGGGTCAAACTTTAGGGCGGGGCTCCCTGCTGAGTGACAGGCCTCTGCGTCCTCCTCAGTCGTCCGGTCGCATCTGTTCAATGTTTGCGTGAAAAACGCGTTGGCCACCTCAAATCCAAAATGGCGACGGCGAGATGGCTGAACTGGTTGCTTCAGAGGATCAGTCCCCAAACCAACGGGTGAAGTCTTACCGCGGTCTACTACTACGTGGTCTACTACCACGTGGTCTACTTTAGACGTGGTCTACTTTAGATCAGTTCAGACATCCTCAACCGCTGCGTCCCCAGCAGAGCGTCTCCATGTCAATCATTTCCTCCGCTCTGTCGTAGGGTGCAACTAATGAGTTTTCTTTATTACATGTCCGAGCACATCGTAACGCCGCAGCACGCCGTGTTATTTGGGCTTGTTAAACTTTTACAGTTTACAAAGTTTCTCTGCACAAATCAGGTCCACGGGGACTAAGAGTCCCCTGGCTGCCGCATGTCATTCCTCCCTCCCCGGGCCGCGAGTCACCCTCCACTGTCAGCCGCCAAAGGAAAATACACATTTTCCCCCGGCCCTAAATAGTGAGGCCTGCACAGACAACCCCCCCACCAGCTCGACCCCATCCAGCCCCCGTGGGACCAGCCAGGCATCAGCGTTGGACCCACCCGCCGGGAGCAAATCCCCACAACCGGGGCTCAAACATCTGGTGGTGAACAATGGAACCAGCAAAGCAGCAGATTAACACCTTGGCTCGGCACGATCAATCACGTATTTGTCCAAATCAAAGCCTGTTTTTTTTTTATAAACGTGGGAGAGAACATCTCACATATTTGGAGTAAAGCTTAAATGGAGAGTGACAGACATCAGGGATGGAGCTCCATCCGTCACGGCTGGTGTAACAGTCTGCAGTTTATTGCCCCCGCTGGAGGACTCGGCCTCACTCGGTAACCCTCCCGGGGGAACAGGGAGTCTGAACAAATCCCCTCTCAAACTTTCCATCTCTGCGGCTAAAATCCTGATCGCTGCAGTTTAGTTTGCATTTATAACCCCCGTAATTATCCACACATACATTTATATATATCTAATGTGCTGCACAATGGCAGCGATAACACAGTATTAATAATAGAGAAATCACACATCGATCACACATGAAGGATGAACTTCTGAAACTTGGTTAAACACTCGCTGTACATTTTAATGTGCGCCGTCTCCCAGCTGTGTGAAAAAACAAAAGGAGTTCCTGCAATTACACAGATAGGGGATGGTTGTTATTTATTTTGTGCAGAAGCTGCTTTCGTTTCATAGCCGAGCCATTCAGCTGAGCTTTCTTTAGCCGCTATAATTGGTCCCTTGATCAAACCTGCGTGATTGGAAAGTACAGCTGCAGGGAGAGCGGGCCGAAGCCTCGGGTTAAAGGCATTTAAGCAGCTGTGTGCCGTGATTTAAAAACCGAGTCTTTACGTTCCTCCTTTTTGCCCGAACTGAACGTCACCTTCGGTGCGCGTTTGCAGAAAATCCCAACAGTGCGTTTGAAACTGTAAGATTTACCGTAACACTGCTTTTGGATCTTAGCATTTGTCAGAAGTGAAACACAGCCAGTGATCTTTAGCAGGAGAAGAACGCAGTCGAAAGCTGTCCCAAGAGCTCACGCGTGGAGGTTCAAGTCTTCAGAAGCATCTTTTCATCTTTAGCTCTCCGGCGGGATGATGGATGATCGTATTTAAATGCAAATAAAGCACAACTGGCGCTTATCCGTGTTTTGTTTGTTTCCGCTCCCCACAAACACAAAGCGTAAGTGAATAAAGGCAATATTTCCGAATTTATTGAAACTCCCACAGCTGCTCGGTGACGGAGGTCTCGGATGATGCTGCTTTGTTCTTTATCCACTCGAAACAACGACATTAGCGCAGCATCACTTACAGCAGAAGATGGATCAGCGGGAGGAGTAGCTACCTCGTGGTAGCGGGTGAAGAGGCGGTGATCCATCGCCTGCTGCTCTGTGGCTTCAGTTCCAAATGAGGAAACACTGGCGGTCCAAAGAACTGAGCCGCGACGGTTTGCCGCTCAAGGAATCAAAGCTCTTGTATCCGAGGGGGGACATTTGTGAGGCTGCTTGTTGACCTGGATTCCTTCTAGAACCGCGTTCCGCTGTTATGTCACTGGGCGGCTGTTAGGTAAGGACGCAATGCAGGTAACAAGTTCACACAGGTGCAGTTAATACAGGCGGTGGGTGGAGGACAAGACGGCGTCCTAAAGACGAGCTACGGTCTGTGAGAGCCGGAATCCTTACTGGTTGGTGATTGAATACTTCTGACTCGAGTTGAGTAACAATGGCAGACTCCTACACGCTTTGTTAGTGGGAAAGTGACGGTATATGTTCTGTGATTTGCTCGACTCTTTAACGCCGTCCACGGTCTCACACGTCCAATTTTCCCGTCGCTTGAACCCGGCATCCTGAAATGAAGCGTTAACTCTCTGTTCTCCTCACAATAGGAAACCATCACCATGACTACCAGCACAGCCACCTGGATCTGACGGCGCTCACACCGAAACTGGGTAAGAGAGCAGTAGAGTCATTAGCGGGGGGGGCACACTCCCACCGACTTTGAGAGGTGGAGATTGACCCGACTTGGCTTTTTCCAGAATGATCCTCATTATCCGTCTCTAGATGGAAGCGAGCCAAACAATTCTCCCGGCAACTTTTTTTTTTTTCTTCTTTTCAATTTCAAGGACAAAAGTATTTCTTTCAGTGGGAAATTAAAATCTGAGGAGCTGATAAATGTGTCCTCTGGGGAGGAGGAATGAAACGCTAAATGCGGATGATAATCAAAGGATCGTCTGCGCGATTTGGTCCAGTTATTGAAAACTCAATTACTATTATTGCGTCCCATCAATTTCTCCAAATGTGATTTTGTGTGAAGGGAGTCCAGCCTTTAGCGTGCAGCTCCCCGGCGCATTAAACCGCCCGTGAAAAGAAGCGCCGGATTAAAGAGGGAATCCAGCCCTACTTGTTATATGAGGAGAAACACAAAAAGAAAAGATCTTCCTCTCTGATACTCTAAATGGCGCCGAGGCCGCGCCGTCTTTAGAGGGACCGTCCCGCCGTTATTGCAGCGCCGCCGTTCGCATTCAGCCTTTTCAGTAGAGAAAATGGGCTTCAAAAGCACCAAATTAAACTCTCCAAACCGTCTATTTAGCTCCTGATGGGGTAGCTGGGGGGTCACACACTGTGCAGCTTTTGGACTTAGTCGGCTTTCAACCTCTGGTGCGGCGGTGCGGCTCAAGCGTTGTGTGCAAATTGATTGTTATTGATGCTTTCTTTCTCACTTGGATTCGTTAGCCCACCGACAAATGAGACACGGTAAGTGATACACATACACACAGAGTTTATGTGTATTTTTCATCCCACGTGTGTCGTCTGAAATGCTTCACCTGCACACTGGGGGTCATTTTCTGTAATTCTCCCTTTTTCTTTTAAGTGCTTGTGTATTTTTTTTTTGTACGTTTGCTGTCACCACACTTCAAGCTTCTGCATTACAGTCCACGACCTTTGGTCCAATGTCAAAACTCTCTTCATAATTTGTTTACTCCTCCACGCTCATCTCCCCCACCACCACCCCCCCCCCCCCCCAGGTGAGGCCTGACCCTTGCACGATTTGTTTCCCTGCCTTAGAGCTTCCCCCCCCCTCAGCAGCAGTTTAGTCGCCCGAGTCCTATTTTTAAATCCAGCACCAGAGTCCCTGCTTTGTGTCCCAGCCCCCCCCCACACACACCCGCTGCGCCCCCCTGACCCCCGATGACTGGGCGGCCCACATACAGGAGGTCCTGTGGGCCCGCCTCCCACATGTGACTGACAGATTGGTGTTGTGTTGTACGCTCCGTCGCCACCAGACTCCCTCCGATCATCCAGCGGTTTAGATGTCTTCACCTGCAGTGAGCAGTTGCCCCCCCCCCCAATGCAAAACTAGTGTAAAAACTTAACTATTGACCTTTTATTAAGTCTCGGCCCCCCAAACGTAAATCGTTCAGAAGGTCCATTTCAAAGTGTTTTTCTCACATGTTCGGTGGACACTGCAGCTGTTTAAAAAGAAAATCTGAGCTCGCCATACGATCTCAAATGAGTCATCGCACCGCATAGTCCCCGCTATACAACCTGCGTCTTCACCCTCGCTCTGAATGCACCTTTTAAAACCGAACGCGGACCTCCCGAAGGCGCCGCCGCCGCTCTGGAGCAAAAGGTCGTCGACCTGTCTCCCGACCCACCCGTCTCTCCGCCCACATCGCCCACCGCTCTCCTCCAGCAGACTCCCAGTGTGTGACCCATCTCTCTGACTCACTGTGCTCTGACTGCGCCGCCCCCCCCCTGTACTCCCTGTAGAGAGACCCCAGCGGATGAACAACATCCTGACCTCGGCCACGGAGCCCTACGACCTGTCCCTGTCCAGGTCCTTCCAGAACCTCAGCCATCTGCCGCCCTCCTACGAGCTGGCCCTCAAGTCTGACTTAAGTAAATACTCCTCCTCTCTGCACAGATTAAGTAGGTGGTCCTTCATTCGTCCTTCGTCGCCCTGTTTTTTTTGTTGTTGTTTTTTTTTTTTTGCCTGATGCACTGAAAAAGAAAAAAAAGAAAAGCGAAAGTCACCCTTCATGCCCGGCGCACTAGAGGGTCGCCGCATTCTCCACGTCTCAGTGTCCATTACGGAGACGTGCATCATGGCGGGCGGCTCCAGATGTTTGCCGGCTCGCCGTGCAGATCATCCGCTCGCCTTTTTTAAGGGGGAAAATGATCTCTCTAAAATGCATGACGGCGCGCCGGAGCCTCCACCGCCCCCGTCCCATCGCCGCCGCCATCAGCCCGCCGGCAGACATCTAATTGGCGTGTAATCTGGCTCCATCTGCAGCCCATGTCATGTTGCTAATGTCTCCTAATGACATATTAAGAGCTGAACGGCTTCTACTCGCCAACAAGATGGCGCTGCGGCGTGTTGGTTATCTTCGCTGTGGCACGATGATGCAACCTGACGGCATGTGTAGTTGTGTAGCATGATGTTGATCTAGACTCATTCTTGAGGGATCATCTTTGATTGAACCGGAAAGTCTCGTGAGATGCATTTCTTCAGATATGATTGATTGAGAGTTTGATACAGCAGAAAGTGTATCACCAATAACGTAATTCAAAATGTTCACACGTACCCTTTGATGTGTGAGCCGACGTTCAGAAGGAAGAATTGTTACGTTTAGACGTCAAAACCTCTCTGAACCTCGACCAAGTCTGTCTTTGTTTTTCGGGTTCTTTACGTCAATGTTTAACGCATTGCTTGCTGGTTTGTTTCAAAGTGAGTTTAATAGTCACTAACACACAGTAACTATCAAACTGGATATTTGTAGGTCATATTTCCGTCGTGCTCCGTTTGTGCAGTGAATGCGTGTAGTTCAGATATTGACTCACCTTCCACGTGAACGTCATCGTAGATGATGCCGACGTTTATAGGAAGCAGAACTGTGTCTGTATTTGAACTCTACAGGCTTCCACAGCACCAGGAACAGAAATATTTCAAATAGTAAACTAATTGATTTGTTGACAGACAATTTAAAAATATCGAATGTAGCCTGAATGCACCTTAAATCTAAAGAGGCGTTTACAGGCCGAACGAAAGACGTTCAAGCGAAGCTTCGGCTACATTGGTGCGTTCAACACTCGTCTCTCCTACAGTTGCCTCTTCCTCTCTCCCTCTCTCTCCCCCTCTCCCTCTCTCTCTCTCTCTCCCCCTCTCTCTCCCCCTCTCTCGTCCACTCTGGGCTTTGCACTTATCTCTGTGGAGCCTTGTACACACACAGAAAAACCACAGCGATGAATCACGCTAAACTACAAAGAGCCGCTTTGATTTGAGACGGGACGCCTGCCGAATATTGTCAGAGAGGGGGGGAGTGTCTCTCTCAGAGGGGGGGGGGGGGGTCAAGACGTGAGAGTCTCTGGAACGCGTCTCAGAGCAAAAAATAGTAAAAAAAATAAACCTCTGGGGGAGAGAGAGACAAATATAGGGGTTTGTTAAAAGGGTGCGGTTGTGGTGGTGTGTGTGTGTGTGTGTGTGTGTGTGCGTGTCTCCCGCCCGTCCTTCGGTGATGTCATCCAGCTCCTCCGTCTCTCACCTTAATCACCCTGAAAGGAGTTAAAACACCTTTTACGAACAGAGAAGTCCACCTTTAATCCTCCCAACAAGAGATACAATTAAATTAAATTGCCTCCAAACCCCCTTTTTTTTATTCCACCGGCCCGAACGTCTCTAAAGATCACTTTGTAATTGATGTTCCACTGGTTTCACGAGTGTTAGTGCATTACATGATTACAGTCTCGTGTGATCAATAGCTGACACGTGAATATACTGTTTATATTGAATGTAATCTGGCGGAGTGGGAGCCGGGCTTTAATTAGCCGCTGCCTCCCGCTCGGGACCTTTGGGCCTCTCGCAATCAAGGTAATTGCAAAGTGCTGAGTTTCATCGGCTGAGATGGAACATTATGCATCGGCCCTCTTAAATCATTTCAGTCAATTAGAGTGTACACGCTGGAACACGCGAACACTTTCTAAAAAAGGCTGGTCTTAAATCAGATGGTGGGAGGAGGAAGTTGAGGAAGTGGGCCTTTTTGTTCCCTAAATGCTTAGTTTTACTTGCACGAGAACTACCTGGTTGCTCTTCATACATGGATGAGTCATCTGGCACTTCTCATTTGAGATGAATTTGAGATGGTTTCTTGTCTCATCATAACGGGAATGTAAAACATTCCTCCCAATTCAACATTTGAGTGTGAAATCTCTCCCACTGACCTATGAGCGATGGCCCCGTCGTCTCTATTGTAGCGTCTGTGCTGGCTGTGTTTGACATTTTCTGCCATTTAATGTCACATCCAAACCAACCCCCTCGAGTCCGGCCCCCAGAAGTGGTTTGTGAGCGCGGCCGACGTGCAGGTTTAGAACAGTGTCAGCATCGCCGAGCTTGTTAATTGCGGTTGAGTTTGTGAGTCGTGCGGTGCTGCTGCGTCCTTGTGGGTTGCAGTAATTATTAGAGAGCCTGTGCTATCAGTGTTTTAAATGGATAAAACGAGTCCATGCACCATCTGTAGCCTTTAGCACCAAATTGGTATTGGTTGAAGGTAAATCACAACTTCATTATGATGTCTTCAAAAGCCATCTTGAAATATATATTTGAATGATTGCAAGAAGGAGATGTTTTTAAAATAAATATGATGGATTTAATTTGCTAACACCAGCTCCAAGAAGCTCATCGTACACAATCAAAATAGTTTAACACACAGGTTTTTTATCAGTTCTCCACACCAGCATTCAGGAAGGAAAAAATGTAATCAAATAACAATATTATCTGTATTTTTTTTAAAATAAATACAGCAGCAAACTGCAACTTGCGTGTTGTAAAAGTTGGTGAAACGGGCCCCAGGTGGTGATTCATGACGCTCAAATCCAACGCGTTGTTGTTCCATTCTGAGTGACGTCCATAGTCTCGTGGTTTAGTGTATTTATTCACAGTGAGGCCGGCCGTCTGGATGCCGTCTTCTCCTTCTGGTAACCCTCGTCTTCCTGCTCCTCAGACGATAAGGACGTGGAGGACTACTACACGAGGAAGCAGCACCACCCCGACTTTGGCGGGCGTGGCCCGACCCACATGGTGAAGCTGATGGCGGATCCCCCGCAGCACCAGCAGCACCACCACCACCAGCAGCAGCAGCAGCAGCAGCAGCCACAGCAGCAGCGGCAGCGCCCCCGCAGGGTCCAGAGGGCCATGTCCCAGGACCACGTCCTGTCCCCGCCCAGGACGCCGCGCCGCGGGGACTACGGCCTGTCTTCGTACGGCGTCATGGCGGCCGCCGCGTACAGCAGCAGCCGCCACCTGTCGGAGGAGCAGCTGCTGTCGGCGGACCGCCTCCGCTCCCAGGACCCCCTGCTGTCCCCGGCGATGCGGCGCGACAAGTTCCGGGAGAAGGCGATGGCGCGGGCGATGTCGCACGCCGACATGCTGCAGCCGGTCACGCCCGTCATGGACCGCCACAAGATGACCAAGATGCACTCGCAGCCCGCCGCCTCCAACGACTCCTACAACACGCTGACGGTCGGCCACCAGGCGACCACGTCCAAGAGGCAGGCGTTCGCCTCCCGACGGACGCACACGGTGGACCACCTGCAGCACATCCCCGGCCACCACCACACGTACCGCACTGCCAGCAAGAACGAGGTGACCGTCTGAGCCGCCGGAGGGTTCCGTGAGACGCGGCCGGGACGCTGGCGAGGAATCTCCCCCCCCGAGAAGGTTCCCTCTGTCCTCCTGCATTTAAAAAAAGAAATACATCGATTTAAAAAGAAACTGCTTTTTAGCACAAGCTTCCCACGTCACCGAGAAGGAACCCCGGCAAAGACTTCTCGCTCTCAGAGCATCATAAGGGCTTTGCGCGTTGACACAAAGACGGATCCTTCATGTCGGACGTTTCACAGCCTGAAGAAAATATTTTTTAAACTCGACATGGGACTGGCAGGGAATTGTGTCAACTTTATAAATATATAAATATACTATATTTACTATTTGTATTTTCAGTCCTTGTTATAGCTTTAGAGATTAACCGATGTAAGCACTTCAAGAGGTGCCCCTTAAAATTGCCACATTTCAGCGATGAAGTGGTGTTTGTGGGTTAAAAAGCACAATTAATGAATTCCCTTCTTTTGTCTGGTTTGTTTTACTCTTCTTCTTTGGTAAACGGCCAGATCATACGCGCTTATTAGTGAAAACAGAGGTTGTTTCTGTTGCATACAATAGACGAATGTAAATAGGCTAAATTAGCAGCATTAAAACGAGAAAAGCCGGCCTTTTTTGTCATTGTTGTTCGTGCGGTTTTCTCCCACCTGGAATCTATCCTGGGTTCCCAATTAATTATTTCAATTTTAGATAGTCAAACACTGAATAAATATTTTTCCACAGATGTCGCCAAATTATGCGGCTATAACGTGTATATGGGGAGTATTTTCTGTTCTAACCGTGCTTGTAGCATAAAATGATGTGTCGCTAACGGGAAGAGAGCTGCCGACACTGGCTAGTTAGCTAGTGGCTGGCTAATTAGCTAGTTAGCTAGTTAGCATCGGGAAGAGGGGCAGAGGGAATGTTGGACCCCGTGTACTGCACGTGAGGTTTTGCATTAGAACAAGCTGGAATTAGCAGGAAGCTAACTAGCATGGCTAATCCCACCGTGCTTTAATGCTACCCTGCTTACAGAACAAAGTTGTTCCCGATCTGGCGACAGCGATGTGCTTTCCTACTCTGACGGGAGCATTAATGATGAAGCATTAAGTTGTTGAGTCTGCGACTTCCCTCGACAAACAACCTCTTTTACCGCCGCCGACGGGCAGCTACGGTGTGAAAATGGATTCCGATAAAGTTTGAATTCGCTTAATTTCCATTTCCAACATTTCCTTTGCTTGGTCGCCCCCCCACCCCCCGCCCGGCGCCCGGCGCCCACTCTGCCCGGCTCGTGATCGGCCAGCGGCCTCCATCTCCACAGATCCGGCACCCGATGGGTCGGAGTTCATAGCTCGTGTGTTTTCTGAAACAATCAAGAGGACATTATTAATTAAAACTGTGAACTGTTTATCCAGATGTTTTCATTAAAGCAATGCCTTATTGTATGATATCTCATGTGCTCTTAATTGAACAATCATGCGCCTTGTTTTTTTATTAGATTATTGATTTTGGTACCGATGGTACCGATACCTCCAAAACACTACATTAAATTAAATGACCCTCAAACTTTCATAGAGGATAAATCTACATTAAATGTGTCCCACTTATCAGATATATGTGAACTATGTTGGGGTCCAGTTGAGGTACCTGAGTGGATCCACATCGCTCTGATACAACACAGGCTCACAATCATTGCAGGATAATATTTATTTTAAGGCCGATGGATTGTGTAATAATAAGTGCAATAAAAAATGAGATCTCAAATGTTTTATATCCCAACAGGAAATTAATTAAAATTAAAATTAAATTCCTACTTGCTAAGCATGTGGTTCATGTTCATATTGATCGCTTTGGGTGAGTTTGCAGGGCCGTCGGTTACTCTTAACCCCAGAACGACAAACCTTTTCTTTGCTTCGTGCACCACTGGGCAACTTTTATCGCAATAAAGACGGCCGAGTCTCCAGCGCTCAATCCGGCTCTCTTTTGTGTGTCCGTGGTGACTGAGAACGCAAGTTGGAGGTTTGAGGGTAAAAAAGAATTGTATGTTTATTTAGAATTGAACTGTCCTTCAAAATGACAATTCTGAAGATGAGGAAAACCTGCTGTTTCTATGATTTGATAGTTAAACTGTGTATGAAGACTTGAGTACGATGAGGTCGTTGCGATTGAGGCAACGGCAGGAATGAAATGTCTGATTACGCAAAAATTCTTAGTTACGTTGCATTGTTTTGTTGCACATTTCTTCTTAATCCGTCCGTGTTGTGATGACTGATGACCATGTAGGACAGTTGGCCAAATGATATTTTCTTTGATTCATTTGGACTTTTATGTGCTGATTTCATCTTTTTTACGACAGGACTGTATTAAATGATGTCAATTAGAGATGGTTTGTTTTCCCCAAATTTCCGTCACTGTACATATGAATGTGTTTTCGTTCCTTAGTGTATTTGAAAGCTTTGAGTGAGAGGAGGTGTCATTTGTCTGGTAGACTATTTCAGACAGATATTTGCACCCTTCCGCCTCGCTCAACTAATCTTCTCCAACTTCTTTTCACTTAATTAATAATGATGTCATCCCAAGAGCCTTTTTAACCGTGTGCAATATTTGCTCGTCATGCAGCATAAGTCTATAGCCACTTCTAAAATGTCGTAAGGTTCATTCGCTGCCATAAAGGCGTTGTTGTCCTTTTTCCAAATAGAGCTGTTGTCTTTCATAGTCAAAGAGGTTTGTTTTGTAACGAAGCCAAATGTTGTGTGATGGAAAAAGGGATCTGTGTACTTGCACAAATAACTGGAGACAAACTTAAAGGCTTCAAAAGACAAGTGTTCGTGTGCATTTTCTGTTTGTTTACAAACTATTAAAGCGCATCATGTGTTATCGTACATCGATTCACTCAATCGCACGTTCGCCACATTGATGGAATAAGTGGCACGCGTGGAAATGTTACGGCCCAGTTTGGAGTCATGAATCCTGCAGGTGAGCTGATATTTTCATTTCCAGCTTGGTGAAAACTTCCAGTCAGGAGATGAAACCGGCTGCAGGAATTAATATTCATTCACTTAACGATGATTCCACCGTTGACTGAACTGTTTTTTTTTCCTACTTTTAAATAATCTAAATGAACTGAACAGCTGAGCGCTAAAGTTGTCAACGATTACCTCGTGAGCACGGAAATTTAATTTACTCGCCATTAAAGTCCAAGGAGAGTTGCTCCGATCCAAATAACCGACAGCTTAGATCTTTGGCTGATCGCCTTCATCGGATCGTCGATTCGCTCATTTAAGCGACGCGGTAACTACGACAACAACGGTCGCTACCGGATACGCACATCTAATTCCTTAAACCAAACATTTCGATACGTTTTTGGTCGTGTTCGGGAAAAAGAGCCGACTCACAATGAGCTCATGAGTCTCTTTTACTCTTCCCAGGGTGTTTTTGCTCGTTCCATCAGAGGATTCGCTTTGCATTTCATCAACGAGAGCAAAGATGTTTGCAACAGTCCTTTTTTGTCTCGCCGGCTCGGCGGGAATCGAAATGCGGCACAAAGTGGCTTCACGCCGCCGGAGATGACGGCATCTCAGGATGTGACTGAACAACCGCTGACCTGAAGGCAGTCCTTGTAGGGTTTATCAAAGATGGGGTCGAAAGGTGACGTCTATATATTCTTACTGCTTTGATGTCGTCGTCGTCGTCATTGTTGTTGTTGTTCCCGACAAGCCGCTGCATCTGTGATCATTGAGTCGAATCGTGCAAGTTGATACTTGTGACCTTGTGGACGTCTCTTTGGAGCAAGATTGACTATCTAGCCGTTTTTAGACGATCGATGAAGACACTGCTCTTAAGTTTCCTGGATGTTCGCTATTCAAGTCGAGGAGGGTTGATCCAGGAAAGATTTTGCAGGCCTCAAATGCAAACCGAAACCGAAAATGGTTTCTATGAACTATAACACTAATTTAGTCAGGGTCCAAATACATTACAGGTCCTTTATCTGACGCTTTTTATCCAAAGCGACTTACATTGCATTTTTAACCCATGGGTTTTTACGTGGCACTCCAGTGGACGAGCAGCAACACAAGACTCTCTTTACTCAAACTCATCTTCTCCTCAATTACTTTCAATGTATCTGCTCGCAATCAACAAAAATAGAGCTCCTATTCCGTTTATGACAGATGTATTAATACCCATCACGTCCTGGACCTTCTAAAACCTGCTTGAGATTCATAGAGGAGTCAGCGGCCGTTGCGTTTCCAGACAAAAAAAAGAATGCTTACAACAGCGCGCAGCGGCAAACAGGCACAAAAGGAGGAGGTTTTGACTTCCTTCAACACACCACCATTTGCATTTAGATGGGAAAAAAGGGAAGAAGGATGTTCGGACAAATGTGGCACAAATGGAGGTGCAACGGTCAAATGTTTGGGCATTAAACAATTTGGTTCTTGCCTCAGCGGGAAGCTATCAGGCGAATTAGTTCCCTTCACCGCTTCAATGATCCCGACCATCACAGACAACCGATTTTTGATCCACTGACCGTTCAAAGAGGCGATCTGGTGTGCATTGCGCCAGTGTTTTACCCACCAGAGGGGTTCGTCTGGGCCTCCGGGGGAAATACTGTCTATTCAAACTAAATGCCACTGCCAACAATGAAGACTACCCGCGTTTGTCCGTACGTCTTCAGGGTCTCGCTCTGGCGGGGTGACCTTTCCGTCTTGTATGGAAGAAAACACATGCAGAGCTCCGAGATGAAGTCTGAACTTTAAGCCTTTACGTCCCTCCACTCGATTATTCTTGAGATCTGTCGGCCTGGCAGAGGGTTTAGGGAAGAAAAGTCCGCGATTGACCTTATATATCACCGCCGACCTGATCCGATCAGAAACGGCCGGGCGGCGAGGGACAGGTCGTGCTCTGAGTGATCGATGGGCCAAACAAAGGAAGCCGGGTGGAACCGAGCAGTCGGACCAACAGGGGTTCAGTTACTGCAGTGAAACGCTCTGAATGTCGTACCGACGTCACGCGTTAATCAGGACTCCTGTGCAGATATAAAGATACAAAAATGTTTGTGCGTCTAATTGGCTTTTTGTGGAGCAGATGGAACCGAAGACGTGTCGAGAGCGGCGTGGCCTCGCAAACCTGAAATCAACTCTCGGGGGGGTGGGGGGGGGGGCGATAGGGAGCGATTTCATTTAAGCGGGTTTCGCCTGATATGTTGTGTGAACTTTCTCCCAGCAACGTAAAATCCAAATAAAACCCAAACCTGTGGACTGAAAAGTAGAACATTTTCTGCATTAAGAGGAAACGAGTGAAATAATAAATGCACTTGTTTACTCTCCACGGCTGCCCGACCGCCTGAGCAGCAACATATTAAAGGAAAACATTAGCTGAGCTGCAATTAAACTAACAGCATCCAAACTGAGTGGGAATTGACCAGTTCCTGTTAGTTATGGTCCACGGCTCGAGGAGAACCGGGGGGGGGGGGGTTTAGTGTTGGATGCAGCTAATAGAGCCGCTCGCTTCAAAGAGTGCGTGAACGGTGGAGGCATTCGCCAGTGACCACCCACCCCCCCCCCGCGGGAACCCAATGATGAATGCAGCTAATAGGCCGAGGCAGCTCATAGTCGGCTGGTATCGACTCGACCCCCCCCCGCCTCCACACACACACACACACACACACACGCACACACGCACACGCACACGCGTGGCTTCAGCAGCGCTTAAATGAGAGCAGTCAATAGCAGAGCTGCCTGCGAGACCCCGAGTGTCTCTGGAATGGAGAGCTGACGGATGAGGGAGGAAAGATTTATTTAAACTGCCTCCTAAAGAGGAAAAAATCAAGAAAAATCCATGCGTGTGTGTACGCAGACCATCTGCATGTTTGAGGAGGAGAGATTTTTTACTCTTGTTAGTTGCTATTATTTCTTTGAGTGTCGTCTGTCTTTACTTTACTCTCATAAAAAGTTTTAATCTCATCGCCATCGAGGGCTTTCTCACCGGTGTGCGACCGAAGGGCCGCCGCGAAGAACTTGTGCCCCTTTTTAAGGTGGATAATTGCAGAGGCCGTGTCCTGACATTAGCGCTGAGCTCTCTGCTGATTTTTATATCCCAAATATTTTACAAATGGCTACCTGCGAGTGATAATCCACGACTTGGAAACGATTTGATCGTTTTCCTAATGAGGCTTGGCAGAGCAGGCCGATTCCCGCTGGACGTGCTCAGTTCTTTTCAGCTGTGTCGGTTCTACCCATCGAGCGAAGGCACCCGCCGAGCCAACGAAGCGTCAGGGACGAGGACTATGACCGCAAGATAATGATGATGATGATGATTAGCGGCACAATTGCAATCACAATATGCGATTCGTTGTAAAATCCCTCATCAAATATGAACATATCCTCATTGGATATTCAAAAGCAGTGTTGCGCTTCCTGCAGCGGCTGCAGCGCTGGTTTTATATTAAAGACCTTTAATTCTAGGAAAACAAAAGAAAAAATAAAGTGCTGAGTTGAGCAAAGAAAGAAGAAGATCAGAACCAGAACATGGAGTGAAAGGGCTGGAATGAAATGTCAGGACTATCTGCAATAGAAACAAAGACATCAGCAGGACACGGTGGTGCTTTGAGCTACATGCTAATGCTGGGATGCTAATATTTAGCATTTGGCACTTACATGCATTTCGCACAGTTGCTTTTCACGCTGGCTTGAGGCACCATCGTGGAGTAAACTGACTGGTGGACGTTTAACCAGACAACATGAAACAGGTCCGGGAAGATTCTGCAGCCGAGGACCATGTGGTTCAGTAGAAAGCTGCCGGATGGACCTCCCATGTGAGATTAGGATAACAAACATAGTTCTCCGTGCTGCATTATGACACAGAACACAACTCTCAGCTTTGCTTGGATACGAAGTCCCATTTCTATGTGCTCCACATCCAAAGAAAACATTCTTCAATTACAGCCGGCGCCTGCTGCCAGACTGATGAATTAATATCCCGCCTGCTTCGTCGTATTGACGAGCACCTTCATTAATCACAGAACATGCACACAATTCAGTCTCCGTCTGCTGCCGAGATAACAATGCCGGCGGTTTGCTAAATTCTCCCCACGACGCTCCCCGACTGCACCGCGTCATTCTCCTCCTTCCTTCCCTCTCTTCACCTTGAGGTTTTTTGTCAGTATCATTTTCATCTTGTGGTCAATGTCGCTTTGTGGGTTTTTTTTCTTTTTTAATTTTTTATTCTTTCTCCCCGGTAGAAGGCGAGCAGAGACCCCAGACTTCAGACGAGCCACAGAGCGGATCAATGTGCAGCGCACCAGAGATCAGGCCCTTCTCCAGAGGCCGAGACCGGCTCATATATAACTCATATGTCCGTTTGATCGCATGCCAGCAGAATACATCAATATATATAGATATATAGACAGGGATCTGCAAGAAAACCTTGTGACAAAGCTTGTGATTTATCACAGTTTACTGGCTGTAAGAACATGAGCTCGCCTCAGACTGTCCGCTTCAATGTTCCTTCAGACTTCTACGACGGCGGGATGCTGTGAGGGGAAACAACTGAAGAAAAGTCAGTTCACAACTTGTTATCACCAAATATGCTGCTCGTTAGTTTTGGTTGTGGAGCGTCATTACATTACATTACATTACATGTCATTTAGCTGACGCTTTTATCCAAAGCGACGTACAATAAGTGCATTCAACCATAGGGTACACTGTTGCGTCACTGTTGTGCAGCTGTTTCCAACCTGAGCGGTTTGAGACTAGCAGCTGAAGAAAGTGGCAGCTGTGGAGACATTTTCAAGGCGCTGCTGGAGATCAAGGCAGAGCCAAAGGGGGCGAATGGTGGACTTCTTTTTATTATGTGGACAACAACGCGATACCGATGATATGCT